GTATGCTAAGAAATATTGGGATTTTTGCCAGTTTGATAGATGACAAACTACTTAGGGTGGTTTTGTTTGTTTTACTTTTTAAATTGAAGTAAAGTGTACAAATCTTAAAGGCTCAGTTTGCTAAGTTTTTGCATGCATATATATATACCTTAAAAGCCACTATTCAGCACAAGACACAGGATGTGTCCAGCAGCCAGAAGGCCACCTCATACCCCTTCTTATCAATGCTCATTTCAGGGTTGACCACTCTCCTGACTTCTGTCTCCAGAGAGAAGTCTGCCTGTGCTTAATGCTCAAATTAATGGTGTCATACAGTGTGTTTTCTTTTATTTAACACACTGTGTCTGTAAGAATTATCCATTTTGTATGTAGCAACAGTCCTTTTTTACAGATCAGTCATATTCCACTGTATATATTTGCCACAACTCACCCATTCAGCTGTTGGTGGACATTTGGTTTGTTTCCAGTTTAGGATTGTGAATAAAATGGCTGTGAGCATTCTTATACATGCCTTTTGGTGAACACATACATGGATTCCTCCTGGGTGTGTAGCTAAAATTTCTGGGTCATAAGTATAGCATTAGTAAGTACTACTCGATAGTTTTCAAAAGTAGTAAACCAATTTGTACTCTCACCAGAAACATATGAGAGTTCCAATGGTGCCATAAACTTGCTGGATATTTTCAGTCTCACTAATTTAGGCCATTCTGCTGAGTGTGTAATCCTGGACAGTTTCTCTCTCTGAACCTTAGGATCCCACCTGAGAAATGTTTCTAAAGTTGGCTGTCACATCCACAAATGGTTGTGCATCTTAATAGACCATCACTGTCTACACTTGCCTTGCAGGCAGTAGATGCTTCACACGTTTATTAAACACTGCATGAATCTTACACTGTTTCCCTCAACCCTTCCCTTTAGCTTGCTAGCAGCTGATAATGTAGCATTCTGGATGCTGTGGAGGCATACAGTGAGCCGTTGTTACCTCATGGGGCTAGCATTAAATGGGAAAGAGCTACAAGTTAAGCTTGGCTCATAATATGCATGTAATAAATAAATAATGAATGAATGAATGAATGAATGAATGAATACAATGCTGAGAGTGGTAAGAATTAGGAGAAAGAGTGAAGAGGGAGGAATGATCAGTTTTGGAAATTCACATCAAAGAGATGGCTCCTGAGTGGAGGAAGGGTGCTGAGGGATATTAATCCAGTAAGTTTGTGCTTCTCAGTTTGAGACCAGAAAGATGCTGCCGATTTTTTGGCCCTCAGCACACTGGATGTCTGCTTGTCCTGACTAGGCATTGTGCCTCTAGAATCCCCATTAGACTTCTTGGCCCAGACTCTTCCCTGACTTAATTGCAACTACAAACCCAACCCAGGCCAGCCCCTCCCTTGTCCCATGGCAGTCAAGAGGTTAAATTTGATCATGAAACTCTACAGGGTAGCCCTAGTGTGGCATGTTGCAAATGTCACTAGCCTCATATGTGTGCACACTGATGGAAAGTACAGTCCCTGTTGTACAGAAGAGGAAACGGAATCTCAGAAAGGTTGCATGGTTTGCCCCAAGGAACCGAAGCCTTAGAGTTAGGAAGTCATGGATTCTGATTCCAGCTCTGCTGCTTAATGTCTGTGTGACTGTGGGCAAGGCTACTACCCTCTCTGAGCCTATGAATTTCTCATCTCTAAGGACTGAAATAATAATAACCTGTAAGTGCTCCTCATTGGAATGAATTGTGTGGTTTATGGAAAAGCTCTTGGCATAGAGTAGGTGCTCGGCAACTCTGTTTATGACTCATGTCAGTGCTCTTTCTGGTGTTTCTTCTTGCTTCCCATATGCCCCTCTTTGTCATCTCTTGCTCCTCTATTATTTTTAAATATATATATCTACACTAATAAAAGAGAAGCATGCAAATTGACTGTACATCCCACAAGCCACACCCACCAGCCAATCAGGAGCGAATATTCAAATTAACCCAACCAAGATTGTTGCAGCCACTGAAGAGCAGGAGGCTTAGGTTTTCCTGACAATGGAGGAAGCCAAGCTTCCCACTTGCTCTGGCCAGCCCTGGCCTCTGCTACAAAGTTTCAAGTATAGAAGATAAATAAATCCCAACAAAATGGCAGCAGCCATGGAGCTGAAGAGAGCAGGAGGCTTGAGTTTCCCCTGGCGATGGAGAGAGCCAAGCTTCCCACAGCCCTGGCCTGCCCTGGCCTCTGCTCAAGGCTACAAAGTTTCAATTATAGAAGATAAATAAATCCCAGATACCAGGGCCTTTGCTTAGGTCACCAGGGGGCATGGCTGGCCTGCAAACCACCACAGGCCCCTCGCCCAGGCCGCCCCGTGCCCCAAGGAAACCCCCATCCTGATCCGGGACACCCTTCAGGGCAAACCAGCTGCCCCCCACCTGTGCAGCAGGACTCTATCCTAAATAATAAAAGAGTAATATGCAAATTGACTGTCATTCCCAACACACAAGATGGCTGCCCTCATGTAGTCAAAGATGGTTGCCTCCATGTGGACACAAATGGCCACCATAAGATGGCCAGCAGGGAGGGAAGTTGGGAGGGACCAGAGGAAGGGGTAGGAAGAGAGAAATAGGAACTTGAATGATGAGAGCAAAATCATTGCTTGGCTGCCTCCTGCATGCCCCTGACTGGGGATTGAGCCTGCAACCTGGGCATATGTCCTGACCAGGAATCGAATCCTGATCTCCTGGTACATGGGTCGATTCTTAACCATGTAGGCTGGACTTCTCTGTTCTTAAATCAACGCCACATACATGTATTAATGAAAACATTCTTCCTTTGTACCAAGCACAAAGCTGGGCCTTGGGCAGGGGATGGGAGGACCTGGGAAATGGCCCCTCAATCATTGGTTGGTGTGTTGGAAACAGAGAGACTCTAGCCTTACTCTATCTGCATGGCCATCACCCAGTGATTTCTTTTTACCCTGTTGTATCTATTACTATCTTCCTTCTTTTTTTGGTTAATCTCTCATTTTGATTGAACACCTATGAGTTGGGGTTACATATTTTAATTTCTTGAATTTCTGAAAACATATTTACTCTGTTTTCACACTTGATTGATAGTTTAGCTATGTGTAAGATTCTAGGTTGGAAATAACTTTTCCTTCTGATTTTTGGAGGCATTTTTTCATTGTTCTCTGTAAATAATGAGAAGACTGCTGTGTGTTTTTTTGTTTTGTTTTGTGTGTTTTTTTTCCTTTTCTTTTCTAATTCCTGTGCCTTTGTCTGTGACTAGGTTATTTTCTCTCTTTGGGACTTTTAGGAACTTCTCTTTATCATCAGTGTTTTGAAATTTTATAATGATGTGCCTTGGTTTTGGTCTTTTTTATTAATTGTTTTGGTACTTTATTGAGCCCCCTCAAACCAGAGGATTATGCCCTTAAATTCTGGAAGTCTTGCTTTGATAAATTTTTTTCTTATTTTTTTCTTCTGGGACTAATTTTAGATGTACATTGAATCTCCTGGACTCATCATCTAATTTCCTTAGCTTCCTTTTCTCTTGGACATGTTGTTACTTTTTAAATTATTTTTTGGGAAACTTCCTTGACTTGATCTTCCAACCTTCCTAATGAAATTATTATTTTGGCTATCATTTTTTTTCTTAAGGAATCAAATTTTTTTCAAGAGACTACACATGGTTATTTAATCTCTGGTACTGAGCAGTTTTGTTCCCCTTATGTTGGTTTTGTTTTTAGTGTGAATGCAAGTGATTAATGAATACAGACTTGTTAACAAGTGGGGTTCTAAAGTTCCTGCTGTCATCAACTTGGGCAACAAATGACCCACTGGAAAGCAACCCTACTTAAGAGATCTCTGTATCTTGTCCTGTGATTAACAGGGAACCTGGAATGATTCAACATTTCCAACCACTCTTCCCTTAATGTTTTTTTTGTGTTTTTTTAATCCTCATCTGAGGTTGTTTTTCCATTAATTTTTATTTTCATTTATTTTTAAAATTTATTTATTGTCTAAAGTTTTACATATGTCTCCTTCCCGCTTGGACCCTCCTCCTTCCCCCCAAGCCATTCCCACCCTGGGCAAGCCCCCACCACCCCAGTGTCTGTGTCCATTGGTTCCGCTAATATGCATGCAAGTCCTTTGGTTGCTCTCTAACCCCTCCCACCCTCCCCTGCCATTTGTCTCTGGCTCTATTCTTGTTCATCAAATTATGTTGATCATTATATCCCACATATGAGTGAGATCATGTGATATTTATCTTTTTCCAACTGGCTTATTTCACTTAGCATAATGCTCTCCAGTTCCATCCATGCTGTTGCAAATGGTAAAAGTTCCTTCTTTTTTATAGCGGGGCAGTATTTCATTGTGTAGATGTACCACAGGTTTTCTTTTGTTTTGTTTTGTTTCAAATATATTTTATTGATTTTTTTACAGAGAAGAAGAGAGAAGGATAGAGAGTCAGAAACATTGATGAGAGAGAATCATCTATCAGCTGCCTCTTGCACACCCCCACTGGGAATGTGCCAGCAACCAAGGTACACACCCTTAACTGGAATCGAACCGCAAGCTGACGACGCTCTATCCACTGAGCCAAACCAGTTTCGGCTGTACCACAGTTTTTTAATCCACTCATCTGCTGATGGGCACTTAGGTTGTTTCCAAATCTTAGCTATTGTAAATTGTGCTGCTATGAACTTAGGGTGCATATATCTTTTCTGATTAGTGTTTCTGGTTCCTTGGGATATAGTTCTTGAAGTAGGATTACTGGGTCAAATGGGAGTTCCATTTTTAACTTTTTGAGGAAACTCCATACTGTTCTCCACAGTGGCTGCACCAGTCTGCATTCCCACCAGCAGTGCTTAAGGGTTCCTTTTTCTTTACTTCCTCACCAGCACTTGTCATTTGTTGATTTGTTGATGATAGCCATTCTGACAGGTGTGCGATGGTATCTCATTGTTTTGATTTGCATCTCTCCCATGATTAGTGACTTTAAGCATGTTTTTATATCTCTCTCGGCCTTTTGAAAAGTGTTTATTTAGGTCCTTTGCCTATTTTTTTTATTGGATCATTTATCTTCCTTTTTTAAGTTGTATGAGTTCTCTGTACGTGTTGAAGATTAGATGCTTATCTGAAATATCTTTGGCTATCATTTTTTATTTCCAAGGTCTCTTTCTTATTCTTTTATCCTTTAAAAAATATATTGTCTTATTATCTATTGTTTTTCCTAAAGGGAGTATTTGAAACTGTGACACATTCCCAAGTGCAGACTACCCCAAGGGAAGATGTCTTTTTAATTTGGCCCTTTAGAACAGTGGTCATCAACCTTTCAGACCCCATGGACCACCAGTTGGTGACTGCTGTTTTAGATTGTTGCGATGCTTTTGTTAATCTTCTATATTTTGCAACTTTAAGTAATTTGCTTGCTTTTTAAAGGTTCTAATTGCACAAGTATAAAAATAAAGATAATAATATTGATCCCCTAACCTTGCTTTATAGAGGCTTCCTGATGTTGTAAAAGTGTAAGCATGGTTATAAAAGAAAGGTTATAATTTTTCATAAAAAGCAAGTAAGACCATCATAGGTTTAATATTGTTTTATTATAATTCTCAAATAAATTTGATTTAATATTGCGGGGCGGACGACAACACTATGTCCACAAAAGAAACCTGAGTAGGTTTCAAAATCTCAGCTCTGCCATTTTTAAACTATGTTACTTGGAGTGAATTACATCCTCCCAGAGCCTCAGTGTTCCTAATGTAAAGAGAATGAGAATACTCAAAGAGTTATTATGACAATCAAAGGGGATAATACATGTAAAGGACCTAGCTTAATGCCTGATATATGACACCAGTAGTACATGAAGATTTCCGTAGCTCCACATCCTTGCCAACTTGGAAAGATCCGGCTATCAATTTCTACCAGTCTAATAGGTTCTATCAAAGTCATCATTCTGTTTCAGAGGCAGAGTATATCATCCCAGAAACAAACTCAGTAGGAGATATATATTAAGAGATGTCATGCAAAGAGCCAGCTTATACAACTATGGAGATGGCTAGGCAAGCCTGAAATCCTTAGGGCAGATTTTCCAGAAGGACAGGCGATGCTACAGTCAACAGGCAGAGAAACCCCAGTTCTTTTCTTAAGGCCTTTCAATTGCTTGGGTCAGGTCCACCCAGATTATCCAGAAAAATCATCTTGATAAAAAGTCAACTGATTATAGATGTCAATCACATCTACACGATATCTTCACAGCAACACCTTGATTAGTGTTTGATTGACTAACTGGGTACAGTTTGGCATGAAAACGGACCATCACATAATTCAACTTGTATTTTAAGAAAATCATTCTGGGGACAGGCTGAGTTGAAGTCTAGAGGCAGAGAGACCCAGAGTAGAGAAACCAGAGAATTACCTGAAGGGAAGGGTGTAGTGAGGACCTGAATTAAGCAGTGGCAACTGAGTCAGGATTAACGGTGAACAGAGTTGAGGAAGGAAGAACAATGGGCAGGATCAGAGATGGCACCCACTTTCCTGCTTGATAGACTAAGAAGGTGTGTCATCACTGAGTAAGAGGGAAATACTTGGAGAGAGGAAAGGGTAGGCCTAAGGCAGGGTGATTAATTTATTTTTATTTTTTGTTAATCCTCACCCAAGGATATTTTCCCGGTTGATTGTTAGAGAGAATGCAAGGGAGGGAGGAAGGGTGAGAGGAAGGGGGAGGGTAGAGAGAAAGAGAGAGAAAGAAACATTGATGTGAGAGAGACACATTGATTGGTAGTCTCCTGCATATACCCCAACTGGGGCTGGGGATGAACCTGCAACCCAGATATGTGCCCTTGACTGGGAAGCAAACCCACGACCCTTCTTGCGCTGGCTGACACTCTAACCACTGAACAACACCAGCCTGGGTAGTGAGCATAACCAAGTGTGAGATATCTGTGGAACATCCAAATAGAACTAGGAGATTGGAATGGAGGTTTTTAGCTCTTCAGAAAGGTCAGGGAGTTGGTATTGTAGAGGTTAGTGAAGTAGGTCTATTTGAGCAATGTTTCCTCCATGTGTATGTGGATAGTGTTTCTGTGAGATGTCCTTGGTATAGGGTGTGGTGTTGCGATGCCTTTGATCATGTGATATCAGTGTGACTAGTCTGTGATTATTTCTGCTGCAGCTGTAATTTGGCTCAGGGCAGAGACTGCTTTCCTATCCCTATTTTGCAGGGACCTACCCATTCTGCAAAACTTTGTGCCTAGCCAGCTTGGCTCAGAGGATAGAGCGTTAGTCTGCGGACCCACGGGTTCCAGGTTTGATTCCAGTCAAGGGCATGTACTTTCATTACAAGCTTCTCCCTGACCTGGGCCCTGGTCAGGGCACCAATTGATGTGCTTCTCTCACATCAATGTTTCTCTCTATCTTTCCCTCTGTCTTCCACTCTCTCTAAAATCACTGTATCCTTGAGTAAGGGTTTAAAAAAAAAAAAAGTCATTGTAAGGGCTAAGTCCTCAGGAGGACCCCATACCTGTGCAGGCTCTGTCTCCTTCAGGAAAACCCAGGATGGAGTCACTAGTTTCCGGGGAGTGACCTGAAAGCACACAGCACCCGCTATGCTGAATGAGTTGGTGTAGCAGCAAGGCCAGCTCAGTCAGGCTCCCTGGGTGGGAGCACCCTTCTCTCTTCCAATTTCCAACCCTAGACCTTCTCCCCACAGGGCTGCAGATAACGGAGAGGGTTTGTGCCCTGGGAGGATTGGGAGCATGAGGAAGGGGAGGGAATGGACATTCATTGAGCACCTCCTATGTGCCTAGCAGAGTGCTGGGTCTCTGTCTGCTCAATGCTGAGGATGAAAACAGGGACAACTCACACTTACCAAGTATGTGCCTCAGTGCCAGGCACTGGGCATGTGTGGTTTCTTTTTTCTATTTAAGTGTCACAACAGCTATGTAACACAGGTACTATTATTGGCCATTTTTACAAAAGAGAGCTTCAAGGCAGAGAGATTAAGTGACTTGCCCAGGGTCACACAATGAGTAGATATCTAAGGTGGGATTTGGAAATGTTCTGATAGCCAAGCCGGAAGTTCCAGACTCTGTGGACTCTCTGATACTGACACAGCCACTTCCCCTCCCAGGTCCCATCATGCAGGGCAGCGAAATACAGGTTCTTTCTCTACAGGGCTCGAAGATTTGTCTCTGCAACTTTTAGGAGTAGCTGGCTTGGGAGAAGCACTGGGTGGGGATTAGGAGACAGGTTCGTAGCCCAGCCTCTGCCTATGAAATGGGTACTATGATATCCAGCTGACAAAGGGGGAACTTGTGCTCAGAGGAGTTCACTAATTTGCTTTAGGACCTGAGACCTTAACTTTCCAGAACCACACTTTCATCATCGTCTGCCTCCTGGCATGTTGTGAGAACCAGAGGAAGAAGTTGCGAGGAGAGTGTTGTTGTGAACTTTGCGAGTTATTCTGTTGCATCTGTACCTACCGCCCTGCTTTCCAGAACAGCCTCCCTCCTGTTATCTTCCCGACCCAGGCTCATCTTGTCCTTTATTATATTTTATGACATTTTTTATTACCTAAAAGGCTCTGATTATCATGCCTCGAGGCCACTGAAATTCTTATATGAATAACTCCACCCGAGGAGCCAGCTGGAGGGGGTGGGATGGCGGATTTAGCAGCTGCCGAAGCTATAACCAAGAGCAGTCTTCCTGTCAGTCACAGGAGGGAATGAGTCCAATGGCTGCTTTGCTGAGTCCTTCCCAAAGCCAGAGGGCAGATTGGAGAGCAGTGCTGCTCTCATCTCTCACTAAGCTTAAAATGAAGCTCGGCTTCTCACTGTGAAATGTAATAACATTTGTATTTAAAAGAGCATGGGTTCTGTTCCCAGCATGGCCACTTACCATCTGAGTGAGCTTGGGCAAGTCATCTCACTTCCCTGGGCCCCAGTTTCCTCATCTGTGAAACGGGAGTGCTGTTGTACAGCACGGATGAGACTGTAGGTGTGAAGGGCCCAGCATGGTACCAAGTGCGCATTAGACTCTCAATAAGTCTTTCTTCCCTGTGTCTCTAAGTTGTGGGAATGAGCACCTTAGGGAGGTAGAGTTGATGAAAGGTGAAGCAGTTTGGTTTAGAATGCAAAAGCAGAATTCTCAGCAATAATAGGCGTTTGAATCACAGTTCTATTTTTAGTTAGATCCAGCCTGAGGTTTAAAAATGTGGTGCCTTCCTCAAGTGTCCCTTTATCCTTTCTGTGTAAGCAGTGGAGGGCCGTGGTGACGGCGGGGGAGGGATTGTCCAGCTTCCCTGCAGGCGTGTACTCCTGCCTTCACAGTCGTGTCTTTTTCCTCATCATTAGCCAGCACTGTCGCCTTGGGCACCATCAGTGTAAGGAAATCCGTGACAGTGCATGAACATGAGTGTTTTACTGTAGTCTTCAGCAAGTTCTCTCACTGCCAAACCAGCTTTCAAATTTACAACTTAAAAAAAAAAAAGTTCTTATTGATTTTAGAGAGGAAGGGGCAAGGATAGAGAAATGGAAATATCAACGAGGGAGATATTGATTGGCTGCCTCCTGCATGCCCCCTACTGTGGATCCGGCCTGCAACCTGGGCATGTGCCCTGACTGGGAATGGAACCTGGGGCTTCTTGGTTCATAGGTCGAAACTCAGCCACAGAGTCACACTGGTTGGCCAAATCTCCAACTTTTGAACCTTTGGAGGAATTTCTTACATCACCCCTGCTCACGGTCACAGTGAGGCTGATTTCACAAATTAGAGGAGCATAGTAGTCAATAGTTTCCATTAGGTCCTGTCTCTCCCCTCTGTTCTCAAGATGCATATATTCCGCACAGGGCCCCATCGTCCCAGAGCCTGGAGCACCTCCCTGCACTCACATGGTGTAGAGGAGGGATGCAGACCATTGGGCACCCAGGCGGCACATAATAATAAGTATTATTTCATGTCTTCCTTGAGATGGCTCTCTGGTAGGCAGGAACCTGGTTTAGTGGTTAAGAGCACAGGCTTTCAAATCAAAGCGACCAGGGTTTGAATCCTAACTCTGCAATTTATCACTGTGTGACCCAGGGCGGATTACTGAACTCGGAGCATAAGTTTCCACATTGTCAACTGGACAGAATAGTACCCTTCTCACAGGGCTGTGAGGATGAGTGCACGAATGCATGGGGAGCCTCAGCACAGGGCCAGGCACACAGCACGTGATACACAGTCACCGTGGCATCAGTTACAGCGAAGAGCAGCTCCTTTGTCTAAGATAGGCGTGATCCCTGTTTTGTGTGAAAGGTTGAGAGGTCGAGGAGCTTGCCCAAGGTTGTACAGCCACAGAATCTGAACGAAAAGCCAGGTCTCCTGACATTTCACCGGAAGCCTCAGAAAACTGAAATAAATGCCCCAAACCCAAATGTACCTGAGCCCTCGTGGTGGAGTCTGAGCCCAGCTCCCTCTGCTGAATCTTGCTTTCTAGAAACAGGCTGCTGGGGTACATTGTGTGCGAATGCAAACACATAAATGATGGAGCGGGAGCATGTCCCGGGAAACCGTGGTTCCCCAGAGTGCGCCACAATGCAGCATGTGGTTAATGCATTTTTCTCGGAAAATTCACCTCTTGGCTTCAGGTCTCATTGAGGGTTATTATGAAATGCATTGCATCCATTCACTTTCTGATGCTGGAAGGGGCTATCTAGTGAGTGTAATTAAGTCCTTCTGAAGTGACAGGGGATCTTGGCAGCGTCTCTGTTCATCATCAGAATGACAAGTTGTGATGTTCAGGATTCTAATAACAATCTGTTTGTCTGTCTGGGTCTCTTACACTCATGTATAATTTAATCACAGCAATAGCCGTGTGTGTGTGTGTGTGTGTGTGTGTGTGTGTGTTATGCACCATTGAGTCAGCTCTGACTCCTGGCGAATGAGTGATGCCCATAATGTCCTGTCCTCAGCAGCCTGCTTAGCTCCTGTAGACTTGTGCCTCTGGCTTTTTTTATGAAGTCAATCCCTCTCATTTCTCTTTTCCTGTTGCCTTCTATTTTTCCCAGCATTATTATCTCTTCCAAAGAACACTGCCTTCTCATAATGTGCCTGAAGTAGGGCAGCTTCAGTTTTGAGACAGTGTAGTAAAGCAGAAAATGTTGGTTTTTGAGTCAGACATACTTGGGTTTAAATCCCGGCTTTGACATTTACTAATGGTGTTGATTTTTAATAAGTTACTCAATCTATAAAATGGAGAGGGTTATATTTCCCTTGCTGGGATTATTTTAAGATTTTTCCAAGATACACACACACACACACACACACACACACACACACAAAGCAACTAGCATGGTGCCTGGTCAGAGTAGGTCCTTAGCTCATGGAAATGTATTCTGTCTCCTAGTCAATCTACCAAGTGTTTGCTCCTGTAATATGGAAGGTACAGGGAGTTGCAGTGACCTGTTGTGAGCCCACCAAACTCTAGAAGTGCCTTTTTGAAGTAAATCTATTCTGATTTGCTTTAGGAGGGTGGTGGTGGTGGGGGGTGTGGGGGGTTATTTCTTTCTAATAACAAAGGCCTGAAACAAACTTTATTCTGTAGGTAAACTTAAATAATTTTACATTTATGTAAGAGATGCTGCAAAACAATAAAATAAGTATCATATATGGATGTTATTTATAGTAAATGTCCATAGTCTGGAAATGCTTTTTGGATCACATAGGTCTGTCTTTCTGAAATGGACTCAGAATTTGAATAGAACAGGGAACATTTTATGTAGGATCGAAGGAGTGGAGGTAAGACAGTGTAAGAGATGCTTGGCTTAATTGTTAGGGGAACATGAATGATAAAGTTGGAAGAATAGACTCACACATAGTGCTTCACATGTACATGTAAACATGCATACATTACCGTATTTTCTGGCATATAAGCGACCCTCTAATTTTACAGTTAAAACATAAGTTTAGGCCTATATTCGCTGTATAAGACTACCCCCCACTTCAAAGAAAAGACTTACTTTGCCATCAAGATCTGCAGGTAATTTTTGTGCAATTTTGGTCTTTTGCCCCCGATTTTCAGTTGACATTTTTTCGTTTCACAAGTCGTCTTATACGCCGGAAAATACGGTATTCTCATCTACCCATGTACATTGCTAACCTAAAGCCCTTAGTTAGGAGTGCTCAGAGGCATTGGCCAAATAGCCTTGGTCTGTGATGTGCTGTGGAAGAATGAGCACTGGGTCTGAAGTTAGGAGACTCCGATATTGCTTTTGGTTCCGCCCCATTTAACAATGTGACGTGGACAAGAACTGCAGCCTCATTGGGCGTTCCCTCCTCATTCATAAAAACAGTCCGGTCACTTTTAGAAAATCCTTGGTAACTATTTATCAAGCGCCTTGAGGATTGTGAAAAGAAAGTCCATTCACTTTCACTTATTAATTCACATCCTGGAGTTGTCTCCTGAGGAAAGATCTGTAGAAAAGCTTTATTTTTAAAGATGTTCATCATCATGTTTCTTATAATTTCGTAAAATTGTGATGCTGCCTAAATGTCCAACGATTAGGGTTAGATAAATTATGGCCCATCTGCTTGACTAGTTTGCAGTATTTACTGAGACAACAGCATTGAGCATGTAAAAAATGAAAACAAAAAGGCACATATTAAAAAAATATATTTGGGGAAAAAAATCATACTTTTGGATGCAGGCAACATTGTCAACATCATCCAAGACACTTAGTGATCTGTGCCATCGCTGTTTACCAGGGTGGTGACCTCACTTTCATCAAAGGACATTTTCCTAACAGCTTTCTCCCTTATGTGCTTCTGTATGTCCCGTTCAGTCCTGAAACGTCCTTCCCTTCCCTGTGCAGCAGGTGAACCTACTGTCCTCCTAGCCAGGGTCAGATTTCCCTGACTTCCTGGGAGGAGGCTCTGTCCCCTCTGCTGGGAGGCGACTGGACTGACTCAGGTTTTCAGACCTGGCAGTGCATCCGAATCAGGTGGAGCGCTTATTACAGTGCAGATTCCCACATCCCGAGACAGGCTTCCTGATCCCCAATTTCCAGGGCAAGGACCTGGAATCCAAATTGCTAATACTGATTATTGTGTTGCTTAGCCATGTGAGGGAACCCTTGACATTAGTAAGCCAAGGTGCTTTCAGCTTACAATCTTTCTAGTTCTGGGAGGAGCCCCTGTCCCTTGCTATCTCCACTGCGAGGGGCTTCAGCATGACGGCATTGTGGAGTAACAGCCCAACGATGGAGAATAACTGTAACAGCTTCACTGTGGACCACTTGTGCTGTGCCAAGAACTGCTTTATATACAACATATTTTATCTGTACAGTACCTTAAGGTCAGTTTTATCATCTCCATTTTACAGATGAGGAAACGGAGGCAAAGAAACGATAAGGGTCTTGCCCAAGTTTAAATAACAAGATTGCATATTTGGATTCATTTCTGGCAGACTTCAGAGCCCAGGAACTAGAATCTCCCTCATGGCCCCTTACCCCACTTCTACGGCATCCCAGCAGGGTCAGGAGCAGCTCTGCTGTGTGCAGATGTGCCTGGTGGGGTGTGCCCTGGAGCTCTCTGCCCTCTGTGCCTGCGTGGTGATTGGGCAGCCATGCACCACATAAGCCGAGGCTCCTGCTCACCAAATGTGTTCTGCCGCCCACCCACCTGCTTACTTGGTACAGGGAAGCAGCGGAATCCAATTTGCGGCAGTGACCTAAGAGGGGCTATTTTTAGTAAGAAAGTAGGTCAGGGGCTGCAGCGGTGCTGCTGGAGAAATGAGCAACCTCCCCTCACGGGGATGCTCACTCACTGCTTCTCTTGGCAGCCAGGGTGGAGGTGAAGAAGGCAGACCTCACAGCTTCACATGCCTGCAGTTGTCATTGTCACTGTGGAGCCACCCCAGGGGAAACGTACATCTAAGACACGGAGGCTCCTGTCTGGGTTTGCCAGGGTCCCGGCCCCAATCTTCCTCGAGAGGTGAGAATCCCTTCAGAACAGATCTCGATCATGGTAGGAGGCGCATGGATTGTGCACTCACTAAGTATCAGCTGCTGTACATGGTAGCTACTAATCTGGGTTTGATCCCCCATGATCTCACTTAATCCTTGCAAATACTTCTGCAAAGCAGGGATTATTATTCCTATTTTGCAGATGTGGAAACAAAGTCACAGAGATAGATTACACAGCTCTTGTTGAGCGCAGCCAGGTTTTGAATCCTGTGTGAGACGTCACTGGCCGGATGACCAGTCCATCAAGCCACGCTGGCGGTGATTTTTGGAATTGCCACTCTGCCCCTTCCCATGTTGTTTGATGCTTCAGAGGAAACCGTACAGTGATTGCTTTCTCCAGCTGGACTTACTGAGTCTGACAACCTGCTCCTTCCAGGACAGAAAAGGGTACCCGGGACACAGACCTCTTCCACAGTGAGCAGAAAGGACATCCCTGCATATTGCTGCACGATCATTGAGGCCAGCAGCTGTCTAAAACACACCACTTGATTTCCCTGGGCCTGGAGTGTCTCGAAATCCTCTGCCCCACTTGCTGTGCCACAGACTAACTGTAGATCTGTGGCAAATTGCAGGGCAGTCATTGGCGATGCGCAGGCGGACACAAGCTTGTTAACAGAATGTAGTAATTGACGTTGCGTGATTCGTTATGCACAGCACAGAGGACTCTAGCAGAAGCCCACTTTATGGCCAACTGCTGCTAGAACCACCAGCCTTGAGAATTTGTTCCTGGCTCCCTTCTGGCTCTCTAGCTGGAGAGCACCAACCTGCACGAGCCAGAAGCAGCTGAGGCTTCTGCCTTATCCTGCTCCCTCCTTCTAGGCAAGGGATGAGGGTATTTCCCCTTCCCCCAGGCTGCATGACCCTGGAGGGAGATTATTAGTTCATTAATTCATTCATTCATTCATTCAATAAACATTTTGAAAATGTACTAGGTATGTAGTAGAGAACAAGACAGGCAGTTCCTACCTTCCCAGAACTTATAGTCCCTCTCTGGGCCTTAGTTTTCTTTTCATCAAATGGGTAGGACAGAGGGAACTGGATTCATTAATCTCTTCTAGCTATAAGATTTCAGAATCTGTGATTCTGGATTGTAAACATTTGTCATTGAATCACAGTGTCAATCTTAGTCATTTGTACCCAATGCCAAAGAGAACAAAAACGAAATTTTCAAATTTCAGAATCTGGATGGGAACCATGGACACAAGCTAGTTCAATTTCTTCACTTACAGACGGGAAAAAATGAAGCTAAAAGAAGGGCATGACTTGCCCAGTGTCCCAGGGACAGAGCCAGGATGGGGAGGCTGGTCTGTAAGGCCCAAGTCTCACCTCCAGGCCTCTAGCAGCTGCCTCCTCACTCAGCACTGCCACTGAGCCTCTCCTTGGAACCCTTTCTACATTTAGCCTCCTTGACACTGAGCTTTCCCGAGTCCCCTCTCCCTACTCCTCTAACCACAGCATGGTTAATTACCTGGACCAGAGAGCCCAGGTTGGTTTTGTTAGTAGATCACCTCCCCTCTCCACACACTCTGTGTTGGAACTGCCACAGCATGCTGCTTTTCATAAAAGCCTCTTTTTAAACCAAGTCCAGCTGTTTTAGTCCCAGAAGGGCAGTCAGATTAGCTCTCTTCTAGGTAAAATGGTAAATGGTTATCCCTCCCCACAATGCCTCCAGCACCACAACAAATGCCTCTACCAAATGCCCTCTGTGCTTCAGTCCTCATGATATCACTATGACTGGGTATTATTAGCCCCGTTTCACAAGGCAACAGGTTTTAATTAAGACTGTAGACTTTAGAGTTAGTCTGAGGTTCAAAATCTGGCCCCACCAAGTTTGAGAAAACCCTCTTTGAGTCTCAGGGATTTTTTTGTTTGTTTGTTTTTTTCATCAGCAAAATAGGATTACTTAATGTATACCTCATAGTACTGTGAGGACTGTGTGAATACCACATGGGTGGTCCTCAACAGCGTCTAATACATGGTAAGTAAATCCCCCATAAATGTAGCTGTGGTGACAATGATGATGCCACGATCCCTTCATTGATAGAAGGTAGGCCCCTATAGTGGACACTAGCAGGATGAGGAGAGATGACAAAATATCAACTTTCTTTTTTTTATTTTTTATTTTTTTATTAATATATTTTATTGATTTTCCACAGAGAGGAAGGGAGAGAGATAGAGAGCTAGAAACGTCGATGAGAGAGAAACATCGACCAGCTGCCTCCTGCACACCCCCTCTTGGGGATGTGCCTGCAACCAATGTACATGCCCTTGACCAGAATCGAACCTGGGACCCTTCAGTCCACAGACTGACGCTCTATCCACTGAGCTAAACCGGTTTTGGCAAAATATCAACACTTTCAAGTAGCCTAAGACAAACTCAAGAGCACCCCAGGAATGATGTTAGAAAAGGACCTGGTGGGATTGGTTACAATAAATTCAGACATGAGCTGCATTTTATTTATTAATTTAGTGGAGTTTTATTGACCACCTACTATGTGTCAGACCTGCTGCTAAAAGCTGGAGATACTATAATGACAAAACCTACATGATCCACATAACCCCTGCTCTTAAGAAGCTTACAGTCTCTTTGGGGGAGTCTGATTTTAATATTAAAATAAATTGCAATAAATATCGATATAAAATTACAAATTGGGATAAATTCTGCGAAAGAAAAGGACAGGTTGCCATGAGATCATATAATAGGGGCTCTGATCTACCTCAAGTGATCAGGGATAGCTCAGATGAGGAAGTGACATATGAGCTGAGATCTGAAGGATCATTGGCAGTTTACGAGGTAACGGAGTAGATGAGGTTGGGGAAAAGCTTTCTAGGTACTTGGACCCATGTAGTCCCCAAGGTGAGTGGCAGTTCAGTGCTTCCTGAGCACTGAGAGGATCAGTATGACTTGAGTGCAGAGGGTGAGGAAGAGTGTGAGGTGGGACAAGAGGCTGGAGAGGGAGACCAGGACCTTGTAGGCCTTGTTAAGGATGTTTGTTTTTCTTTATTCTGAGAGTTTGGGGACCACTGGAGGATTTGGAGCAAAGGCTGATACTATGTGTGTGTGTTTACATGTGGAGAGAGATATGACAGGTCTGATATTTGCAAGAGACCTTTTTGACAGCCGTCTTGAGAATAGGTCTGAGGATATGAGAGCTTATAGGGAAACAAGTGAAGAGAAAGCTTTTGCCTTAGTCCCAGTACGAAATGATGCTGGATCGGGCTAAAGACAGCAGGGATGGGAGGGAAGAGGAGTTTTGAGATATCTAGGAGATAAAATGGGCAGGATTTGATGATGGGTTAAATACAGCTGCGAGGAAGGAGGAAGTGGGAAGGATGATCTCCAGGTTTCTGAGTGCACAAGTGTATTGTGACCCTGCCATTCTAAACTCAAACATAAAAAAAGAAGAGGAAGAAAAAAAGGTGGAAGAAGACCAGGTTTGGGTAGAAAGATCTCGATCTGAATTTGAGCATACTGCACTTGAGGGGTCTTTTAGACATCCCATGCAAATGCTCCATACCCTGCCACCAACAGTAGGACAACAGCCTTGGAATCCCTTTGGTCTGTTGACCCAGCCCCTGCCTCTATGGGGTCAGGTCGGTTAGTCCAGTTGGTTGGAGGACTCATAGTTTGCTTTCCATCCCTCATGGTTCTGCTTCCTCACCAGAATATTCTGAAAAGGGTGTTGTGAGAAATTCAGCCTAGGAATGGTATGACCAGTCTGGGGAGAGAGATTGGTAATTCTGGTATTGATGCATGTCATGTGAGTGTTTTTCCCCAAATCTGTGGATGAGATCCACATGTGTTTGTTATGTGTTCTTTTATTTCATTATTCATGTATTAAAATATTTGCTATTAATATCCTATTTAATAAAGAGGGGATATGCTAATTGACCCTCACCCCATCACAAAGATGGTGGTGTCCATAGCCAATAAGGAGGGAATATACTAATTGACTATCTACCTTCAAAGATGGCGGCACTCACAGCCACAAGATGGCGGCCGCTCTGCACTCTGCCTCCAGTGTCCCCGAGTCTCCTTAGCCCCCCAGCCACGCAGGGCTGGCCAGAGGCACAGGCAAGCTTTGGATGGTGGCTGCCCAACTGCTCAGGGCCGCCCGAGGCTCAGGTAACCAGGGCCAGCTGAGGTTTGTGCTGCCAGCAGTGGAAGCGTGTGATGGGGTGTTGCCTTCCCCTGACCGCAGAGTTGCCTCCTGACTGTGAGAGAGGGCAGGCTGGGCTGAGGGACCCTCCCTCCACCCCCGCTCCAGTGCATGAATTTTCATGCATTGGGCCTCTCATATATCTATAATGTGGCAGGTGCAATGCCAGAAAGGACCTCTGGTTCTTTGAGAAGTGACATCCCCAGAACCCACCAGCATTGCTGTTCTCATGATCATAGAGAAATCAAGCAGGATGCTGCTCTTCCTCTGAATGCTAACTCTCCAGGGTGCTGCTGACTGCTGGCTTTTATCCAGGGGCACGTCCTTGAGTTCAGAGAGTTGTTTTTTTCAGGGGCTCCCTGGGCAACTGTGACTCCCAGGCCTCTCTCTGGGCCTCCTCTTTTGTACAGTCTCCCTAGACAGTAACTTTAAAGACACAGTCACAATGCTCGTTCTTGACTTTGAATGGGGTTCAGATGGGCATTCTGAGCCCCCACCTCATGTCCCCTAACCTCTCTCCCATTCCTCCTCCTCCCCTCCCCTCCCCATGCCAAGTGTTCTGGTTTGTTGTCTGAGAGTATCTTTGTGTTCTGGTGAGGGTGGGAGAAGTGGCAGAGCAGGCTCTGTGTCTTCCTGTGAGTGGCCAAGGAGGTTTCTCTGAGGGCAGGGGGTAGTGGGCAGAGGAGTGACCCATCTGGCCCTGGCACCATGTGATAGGACCTATGAATGCCCATGTGGCATTCTAAGAACATGTTTTGCCTTGTGAAAATCTAAACACTCGAGCCACATGAATTCAGGCCAGTGGTTACCATCACGAAAGGGGATGAGGTATTCTTTTAAAAGTCCTCTGGCATCTTTAACAGGTAGGGCAGAGGGAAAGGGGGAAAGCTATGTGAGGTTTGGTGCTCAAGGGAAGCTGACATTCCCTGTGTTCGTGGAGCAAAGAGCTTCTCACCGCTGGGACAGATGGTGCTCCCCTGTGAAGGCAGGTGCTCCTGCAAGGGTGCCCATGGGAGTGACCGTGTGTGTGTGTGTGTGTGTGTGTGTGTGTGTGTGTGTGGCGCAGGGAGACAGAGAGACCCCTGCAGGGGATGGCAGACTGAGAATTGCCTTTCTAGAACCCCCTAGTTCTTCCTTTTATCTTGAAAAGCCAGCCTGCTTAGGCAATTCTATCAAGGACGGAGGTGTCCTTGAAGTCAGAAGAACCTCGGCTAAATCCCAGCTTCACATTTTCTGACAGTGTGACTTGGGCGAGGTGCTCTCCGGGCCTTTTTCTGTCAGCCTGCAAAAGCAGGTTCATAAATACCGTGCAGAGTTTCCAGTTTGTGTGTGCGGGTCAGCCGAGTTAAGCCTAGCAGCCAGCAGCCCAGGAGGTAAGAAGGGGAGAAGCCTGTGGTGCCTCTGATCAGCTGCCTCTGATCAGCTGTCAGCTCTGTGGCGTGTGTGCATGGCCCGAGCCCCATGCTCTGCTCGGGGAGAACATTCACTGGCATGTGTCAGCTCGCTGGCAGCCCGGGGTGGGCCGGGACACGCTGTCCCAATTCTGCCTCAGGAGACGACGCCCAGCAAGCAGTTAGCCCACCCGGCTTAAGTTTCCCCAGAGAACCCAATCCTCACTGCAGAGAAATCCTTTCCGGTGCCCAGGGTGGCTGTAGCTTGTAATCTGACCCCGTTAGAATGCTGGCTCTGTCCCTTACCCAGGCCAGCTCTTTCCTAAAGCTGGTTTTAGGAGGAGTTATTTTCCAAACGTGTTGGATATAATCTTGAAGCATGTTTCCGATAGTGTCTTAGGAGATTTACACTTTCTTAATTTTCCAGGGGAGCATAACCCAGATACACATTGTGGAGCTAGCATAGTCACAGTAAACCCACAACCATGGGCTGCCTGAAAAAATCCTTGGCACCCCAGGCATGGCTCTGGCTTCCTATGTCACTGTCTAGCACACTAGGATCACACCAGCCTGAAGACAATTGTCCTTGTTCAGGGTGCCCATCACAGTCATCATAGTTCCCATCCTCACACTCGGCGGATTCTAGTTCACCGGTTATTTTCTCCTCTGGCATTTCTGCGGGCTCTGTAGGGCGGAGTTCTAGGCCTCTTTATTTAGGGTGAGAGCATGGCTCTCTTGGAAGGTGCAATAGTTTGTCTGAGGTCATGCAGCTAATTATTGGCAGAACTATGTTTCAAATCCTGGTCTTCTAAGGGGCAGCCTGACATGGTGAAAATATCACCCATCTCACCGAAGAGCTGTGTGACCTTGCACAAGCTAGTTACTAATGTTCTTAATATTAACAGTAACATTTACAAAGCACCCGCATAGTGTAGGTACTTTACACCATATCTTATTGCACGCTCACACTAGATCTGTGAGATGGGTTTTATTTATCTATTTTATTTTTATCTTATGATTTATTTATCCGTTTTATAGACAAGCATCCTGAAAATAGGTTGTCTGAGCCTCGGTTTCTCAATGAAAATATTGCCTCCTCTGTGGGAGGGTGATTACGAGGACTGAATGAGGTATTGTGGGTAAAGGGGTGCCGAGGGGTGCTCAGCAGTGCCTCTTCCCTCTCTCTCTTGTCCCCGCTCTGACTCCTAATTCAGTGGCCTTTCCGCTGTATCCCATTTAATACCAGTGCATTTGGAAGCTGAGGTCATGCTGAAGTCCTCTCCATCCCATTCCCTCCCCTTCCACAGAGGCCACTTCAAGGCTGAGCACTGTGTGTTTAGTCTTATGCCAGTTCAGGAAACACCATCCTCCCCTGGCGTGTTGCATCACACCCCTGACATTTGCCCCGAGCCTGTGTTCTGGACTGCTAAAGCCTCTTCAGCCACAGGGCTCACTTCTCTGCTGCCACAAACACAGCCTGTTTTTCTTATGGTGGTATCTTGCCAGGATCTTTGATGTTGTTACCTTGTGTTTCATGAGGGGCCACATTTGGAAGTGACCTGGAACCCAGGTCTCCTGATGTCCAGTGTCATGTTCTGCAGCTTATCATTACTTGATGTTTAAGAGGAGTGTGCAATAGGTCATCTTTGGAGAACTCCAGAAACGTATTCCTTCAGCTTTGAATAAATATTTAGTGTCTACTGTCAGCCAGACCCATGGTAGACACTGGATGTGGCAGCGAAGGGGACAGGTCTGTCTGTCATGCAGCTCACATTCTAGTGAGAGAAGTAGACACTAAACGCATAAACAAGAACGTCGGTAAGATAATTTTAGATTTTAAGTGCCATGTAGGAAATAAGAGGGGCTCTGGGGTGAGAGTAACTGGGATATGCTTTGTGCTTTGGAAGGATGGTCAGGACAGAACACGAGGAGGGCATGTTTTGAGCTGAGATCTCAGATGAAAAGCTGGGCAGGAGCATTCCTGGCAGAGGGAGCAATGGGAAGAAGACCCAGAGGTGAAGTGGGCGTGGCCATTCGAGGAGTGACATGGAGATCTGCATGCTCGGACACATTGTGCCAGAGGGACAGGTGACAGGGTCAGAGAGAAGCAAAAGCTAGGTCATATTAAATGGCCCTGGCAGCCACAGAGGAGTTTGGATTTTCTTCTAGAATTAGTGGGAAGGGGAGTGATGGGTTCTTAAAGAACACTGAGGCAGCTAAATGGAGAATGAATTGTAAAATGTGAACAGGGAAGCAGAAATACCAGTTACGAGGTTGTTATTATAGCCCAGGAGAGTTGACAGGGGCCTGGATTTGGTTATGACAGTGGAGACAGAAGCAGATAAATTTGTGAAGTTAGGACAACAGGTCTTAATGAAGGATTAGATGAAATCATTTATTCTGCTCAGTCTACTCAGTGCCCAATTAGTGTAGATCAAAGTGATATCTAGTTGTTGTTGTTGTTTTTGTTGTTTTTTTAAATCTTCACCCAAGAACATGTTTTCATGGTTTTAGAGAGAGAGGAAGCGGGGGATAGGGGGAAGGTTAGAGAGAAACATCAATCAGTTGCTTCCCGTGCACTGTTGCATCCCCAGCAGAGATCAAATCTGCAACCCAGGTGTGTGACCTGGCTGGGAATTGAACTCATGACTTCTTGGTCCATGGGATGATACCCAACCAACTGAGCCACACCAGCCAGGGCAATGATATCTAGTTTGAATTCCTAAACTTGGGGCAAGGCAGTGGAGGCATCTGGCAGTGGGTAGACTCGAGAGGCAACAGACCTCACTGCCAGGTGCCCTTCTGCAAGTTTGAGAGACTCTAGACAAAGGCTGGTTTTTGCATCTCTAAAAGAAAGCTGGGAGAAGGGACAGGGGAGAGATTGTGAAGAGTTCATTCACTCAATAGTCCTATGGCAAGTGCCTTATCTGCGTTGGTGTTCTGCTGGTGGTAAGA